GACAAAAAACTACTACTACTACTACTGCTACTACTGTTTGCGCATCTTTCGCTCTGCCACTACTGGTACTCGAAGTAGTACTCGCTAGCACTGGTTCGACAACGGCTGCTGCTATAAATCACCAACTCCTAGTGACTAGTGCTGCCCTCAGCAGTAGCTGCAGCAGGGCCCAAGGAGCGGGGATGCCGGGGCAGCAACGGCGGGACAGGAAACTGCCTCGAACGTTCGAAATCAGAGGAAACAGAATTCCACAATCTTGCCCTTTGGCCAGTTTGCAGGAAGGGAAGGAGTTCATGTGCAGTGGTTGAATAGGAGTGGGAACAGGCCAATCGATGTCACAATATGTCACAACCCAAACGGGCAGCTCGGGTTACAGACTATGACGAACGGCGGGCATGTACATGTAGCAAGCTCGNNCTTCTCTTGCCATGCCAGCTTCGTGCCAGTGTGTGTGTATCGAAACCCTACACCCGAAACTCAACTCCTAACTCTGATGTCGCCGAAGCCTGAAATGCTCAAGCATGGAAGTGAGGTGTCCCAGAGACAGCCGCCTAGTGACGTTCGAGGCGTCGGCTGCACCGTTTTGTGTCTCAGTCTTCGAGGATGTAGGAAGTGGGGCTTGAGACTTGGAGCGGGGATGTGGGGTATAGTTTGGGACCGTTTTTTGTCTGTGTTGAGCTTTCAGATTGATGGAGGTGGTTGTGGTTCTTCCAGGACTTGGACAAAGAATATGAGCTTCACTCTTTTGCGAGAGGCTTGCGTTGAACTGTTTGTGTGAGGAAGAGCTGTAATCCTTGTCTATCGTTGAACTAGGGTCCACGTTCTGTTCCATCGGGGCTGCAGCACGTCGTTTCGTAGCTTTCTGAAAAGCAGTCATGAATGCCTGGCTCGCGCAGCATGAGAGTGTAGACCTAAATTCTATCGGTCAGGAGGCCCCTAGCCAGGAGCTGAGTGGCCTCCAATGGATGTGCCACATCGGCTCTTTCCTTTCCAACCACAGCACCAGAGCCCTGCAGTCACAGGCAATGGACCACCCCGATCCGGACCCGGGTTTATAGATAATCGACAGGAAGACGTGGCTTCAGGACTTTTTCCCGGTATCAACCAGATGATGCCGGGCTCGGGTCTTCTCACACCTCGATCGCTCACTGAACCCATCGAAAATTCGTACTTCCCGGATCAGCTTCTGCATGGTGCCGTGGCAGCTCGCACCCACACTGATGGTTATCGCAATGGGCCTTCAGACCATATCGACGGATATGAGTCCGAGACTCAACCCATAGTGGTGCCAGATGTTCCGATATGCATGCCAAACTTTCGTCGCCACGCAGGAACGAATCAGGCGTTCCGCCGGCAGATGACCGGGCCGTGCCAGCACGTTCCACAAAGCGCATCTGACTGGATGGCAGCGCCGTGTTCTGGGGTTCCGATTGGCCAGGAGCTGCAATTGCCGGACGAAGTCGAGCACGTCTCTGACTGGCGAGAGGGTCCTCTTCCGAAGCCATTAAGCAGCGGTGATGACCTTGCAGTGCAACGGCGCATCAACAAGGCTCTCACCAGCGCTGCTCGATCCAAAAAGGCCGAAAACATCACCATGGTCTTGCGGGTTGCCGCGGCCAATTTGCACCTGATGAATGGCGTGAACCTGGCGACAGCAATCCATCGGCTTGCGCGCATTTGCGACGGCTCGCAGCGGAACATCGACCAGGTGGCCCAGGATGAAGTCTTCAAGATCATGTTGGAAATTGCGGAGTGCAAGGCCCAGCAAGAGTTCCAGTTACAGGACAGCAGCATGCCAGGCAGTTGCTGCACGATAATCATTTGGTCATGTGCGGTTTTGCGATTTTTCGTGCCATCCTTGATGGTGGTACTTGCGAGAGTGGCATCCCGGTCTCTGGCCGACTGCCAATCTTACGAGGTCACCAACATGTTGTGGGGGTTTGCAGAGCTTTGCAAGCGGGAGCCAGTAAAGGCGGCAGGCATGCACGGCAGCATCGAGGAGTTGGTGGATGCCGCAGCATGCGTTATGATGCCTCGAGGGCCCGCTTCCTGGAAGGTCCAAGTTCTCATCTCGGCTTTCGTCTCGCTGGCAGCTTTCCCCTGCGCCAGTCAAACCACCACGCGGCGTCTCGTAGTGAGCATCATCCAGGAGCTCGCACAGCGCAGTGAAGAACTGGAAACTGCGAACTCGCAGCCCATATATACTGCATGTCAGAGCTTGAGCTTGAATCATCCCCAGGTGTTCCATGACATCCTCGGCATTATTTCGATGAGAAGCACGTCGTTCTTAGCACAGGTGGTCTCCGGTGGCAAAGTGACAGTGACGAATCACAGTGTGACGCGCATGTACAACCTTTAGCCTTTCACTCTGTCCATCAACATAGAACTTCTGCGGAGTGGAGCTTGCGCCAGAATGCGGCGTTTAGCGCATTATATGTGCTGGACTCGACTGAAGCAGCAACTTTCCTGATACCTACCTACCTACCTACCTACCTACCTACCTACCTACCTACCTACCTACCCACCTACCGACCTACCTACCTACCTGGTTCTGCACTTCATCCATCTAAGCCGAAACCCTAAACTACTCCTCGCCCGTCATGTCCGAGTTGTGAGAGCGTAAACTACCGCCGGTTGCTGCGAGGATTGTGCCGTGTGCTCCCAACAATACTGTCTGCACACGTGCTCAGCACAGCAAAGCCTGAGACGGTCAAGAATGTTCCAATTGCAGTAGTTTGTCGCCAATTGACATCGGAGAGTTTTCAGGCTTGCTGCATTTTGACCCTTGCCTTGACTGGGAAGTTTAGACTGGCGGTCTGCATTCCAGCCGGCCTCTTTCCAGCAAGATGCGGTGTTTTCAGCCGCGGTGGTCAGGTCCGAGGTGCCGGACGTGTTGATGAGAGCATCTCGAGTCGCGGAAGCATGGATGAACTTGTTGTAGTTTTTGGCAGCTTCCCTCTTTCTGGCAAAACTCGCCCCTGGCCGGTGCCTCTGCTGTTTGTCAAACAGCAATGACAAGTTTCACAACAGTGCCCACTTACAAGACAGTAACAGTGTCAGCGAAATATCAATCCGTCCCGATGTCGGCCCGGCTCCTGTCGCAAAGGCAATGAGCTTCAACTCCCTTATTTTCAGGGTGCAGGCGGGGCCTGCGGCATGGCCCCGGACATAAGTGTGAATTCGGCTTCGATATGCAAGGAGTTATTTGCAACAAGGCTGGCCATTCGTCATTCAGCATGTTTTTTTCCAGCAAAGGCCATGCTCTGGGGCTTGGCTCGCTTGACTTGTTTCTGTTTCAGTGGCTGCTACCGGTATGTTAGAGCAGCAGTAGCCAGTAGTCTGTTTCGAATTCATCACCTGGAACACTTGCACATGTGCCCTGTGCACGCAGGCCTCCGGCATCAGAGTCTGTCATCGCCACATGACTAGTGTTACTACTTTCCTTGCCACGCAGCTCGTCTGGCTTGTGTCCAATTGCGACGGACAGATTTGACGATGTCGGCCAACATGCTAATCCTTTGCAATCCTTTATATGCGGTGCAACAAGGCACCGAGATCTGCCACTGCCACAACTGCGAAGAAAAGGACGTGTTATCGTCTATGTAGTTGGTTTAGCAGAGGTCGTGCAAGTGTTGCACTCAGTGGCGTGATCACACTCGGAATCCCTGCCTGGTGTTGCCGAATTCAAGGGGCGAAACCTTGACCTAATCTTTGTAGCTCTTGAGCTACTAGTAATCTAGTCGTGTGAATGTGCTATAATATAGTTTGGTATAGTACACTAAATGCAGCAGTATAGCACAGCTTAATTTTAACAGAAGGTATTTTTGTGACAAGCTTAACATGACATAATGCAATAAACTACCATATGATACTTGTAGTGCAATAGAATATAGCATGATGTGATGCAAGCTGTTGTCCTGCAGTATCGTGTATTTCACTATATGGTTGTGAAGTTTTTCATGTTGCACCATGCTACATTATACTGTTTTATGCTGTGTTAGGTCATATTTTGGTATATTATGTTGTTCTATGTTGTGTTATACTGTGCTCTTTCATATATTGATAAAGCTTTTTTGTGGTTGCATCACATGATGCCTTGTCATATGATTCAATGACATATTGTACCAACATTGTGTATAACATTCGCATGTATTACATCACCACCCGACCATCCTTATATGATCCGTACAACTCAAGCGTATATATAATCACTAGGCCCAAGCATCTATATGTGTATATACATATATACATATGTGCGTGCACATGCCTATGCAGATCTTAGATGCATATGCATGTGTTTCCGTAAACATGTCAATTCATGTAGTAATGTGGACATTATTCATATCCTAGACTTCTAGACCTTAAACAATAGAGCCCACCGTGCCTTCCGCACACCCTAAACCGATATGTAGTCACTTAGTCACTAAGCCTGAGCCGTATAATCTGGACTTCCTTGACCGAAGAGGCCACTTATCCCTGGCTGCGCACGCAATTTGCGGCCGGCCGGGCCGCTGGCAAGCGCAGCACCCCACTTTGGGGCGAGGCGCCGCCCTCGTTCCAAGGGTCTAAGCTCCAGGTGGCTTAAGGCTAAGGCTTTCGGGCACTGGGAGGGGTTTAGGACTTCGGGTCTCGCTGGCTGACACTCAGAGCCCAGCTGCAACAAAGGGCTCAGCGTCTATGGTATGAGTCAAGGCTGGATCTGGCTTCAAGGGGCTTGTGCAGCCATTTCAAACGCAGGAAAACTGATCGTTCTGCGCGGTCAATCTGCTTGGGCCATATCCCAATTTTGTTCGGTCTGTGGGCCTTCAGGGTACAAGCATCTGCGGGTGGCTGCCAAGAGTTGGGGGTTCTTGTGCTGGTTAAGGTTTACATATCGGGGTTCTGCATTGGCCGCCATTGCTCTTGGGGCGTGGCTGCGGCCTACAGCTGGCCGTAAGGTTCGATGAGGTTCTATGACGTAGACTGACAGGCTTGCCGGGTTGCCCAAACTTGAACTCGTTCTCGGGTTCCAGTTCACACTGTTTGGTACGAGCCGGGAAATGCATGTGCCCGAAACCTGAACTTGTCCTCAGTTAAGCTGATAGGCACTGCAACTTACAGGGCCCATATCTCGAGACTATGGGCTTGCAGTCCCGTTTAAAGCGTTGATCACGGAATCCAACCAATTTAGTAAGAGTTCTGGATTCGATGCCAGCCACAATGCTTTCGTCCTGCATCAGCCGTGATGTTGAATAAGCCTTCTTATGAGCATAGGGACTTGATGTGGCTCTAGTCTAGTTACGGGGTGCTTGAAGTCTGGCGACGAGTATCCACTCGCAGCATGGCAAGGCGAAGTGGCGGATCGCAATGCAGCTGAGGTGCTTGGGATTTTGCCATCAGCCTTGAGAGCACACCTGGGCCACACCCGACTAGCCCGGCAGGCCTACAGTCTAAAAGCTTCTGAAAAACCCTTAACCGCGTGTTCGTTACATTGAAGACATCACACATTGTTGCTTGTCCTGTCGCTCCAAGCCGTGGTTGTACTGGTTTACAGCTCTTGCGTCTTCTCGAAGGGCCCAGTCATCTTGCACATACAAGCATACATGGATACATAAGCACGGACGTCAACATAAACATGTACGCCGTGCTATGCGTTTGCATGTACATATGTCCTCATGTGCATAAGCTCCACACATATGTAAACTTAGAGTAACATGCATACACACACACACTGTACATGTGCAGATACATATGCATGTACAAATGTGTACATTCACACACGTGCATACATAAATTTCACACAAATCCATATATATATATATATATGTATATATATATATATGTATATATATATATATATTGTATGGTATATATATATATATGTATACATTACATAGAGACACTTCTCTGCAGAAGCTGCACCTATCCGTTTACACAAACATCCACAGAGCACGCATTTATTTTGATCTTTGCTTGTACATATATATATATATATACACACACACACACACGTATGCATACACACTTTTGTATGTACGTACGTACGTACCTACTGGCTCTCCTTTCCTGGTCGACCTTTGAACTCCAAAATTCCGAGTTTTGCGGCAGCCGGGAATGGTTCCGGGTTTCGCAAGCTTCAAGTCTTCGAAGAGATGACGATTCGCAAATCAACCGTCTCTGCTTCTCAAACTCGGAGCACTGTTTTTGCGCCTTTGATGTCTGATGAGCCTGATGTTTGTAAACGCCGCTCCAAGTTACTCAGCCTGAGCTCCGCTGCCAAGGCGTGGCGATCGTCCGAACATGTGCCCATTGGGCAGCTTGAGCCAGCAAAGCAAATCGCGGGCTTCTTGCGTTTGGGTAGTTTTCTTGCTTAGAGTTCACCAGGCTCCTACTGTGGCGCGGTGCCTCGTCCGGAAAGCACGATCTGCTGCAAATTCCGGTGCATTGCCTCATCTTGGCCTCAAGATATATGTACTCCACCAGTACATCGGGGAAGCATGTTGGTCGTGTCTCCGAGTCCTGTCGAGACATGGGGGCTGGCCGTGTACATGTGAGGTGGCATTTTGTCTGTAGCGTCCTGAAAGTCTCCTGATCATTCCCGGTGCTTTCCTGGTGGTCTCCTGTTGGTCACCTGGTGGTCTGTGGGTGGTTTCCTGGGTTGTTCTCGCGGTGGTTTCCTTCTGGTCTCTTGGCAGTCTCCTGCTGGGATAAAGCGGGGGTCTCCTGGTGCGCGCGGAGGTGTGTGCAGGGTGCTTGTGATGTACTTGCTCCATGGTCCGTCACTGTTTTGTCGAGCTACGCTGTCATTTGGCTTTTGTGATCGTTCAATTATCTTATTTTCGGGTCCGGCTTGCATGTGGGGCGAACAAGGGCTTGAATGATTTTCGCATTGAGGCGGGGGGCTCAGACGACCGGATTTTTTTCTCAATGCTCGCATGCTTGTTGTCGTGTTCCGTTGAGTGCAATGGATTTCGTGTTCTAAACTTCGGACCCCAATGCACCCTTAGGGTTGAGTGCTGCAGGGCTTTTGTAGAGATTTGTTTTCAAGACAATCGAAACAAGCGATGAACAGGTGCGAGAAGGACCCAATCAGACATCCTGAACCCAAAAGCCGTGGCTTTAAACGCTGAGTCTCACACTGGGATGCCCCGCAACAGAGGCGCGGAAATGATGTTCAAGTCTTAGCCTGGGGTTCCCCAGCGGCACTTGTATGTATTCATCCTCTGGTGACCAATCGCAAATTAAACGGGCACGAACCCACGCAGTTAAGTTTGCTGGCTTCCGCAGCACTTCCTATGCGCCAGTACACTGCGCCCATCTCAGTCTTTGCAAAATCTTACGAAGCAGTCTTCAGCATGATCTAAAATCAGACAAGGGCTGTCAAGGACAGTCCGGAATTCTACAGCCATCCACTGCAACCTAAACTTCTTCGGTGGGGCATGAAGCTGTCAACGCTCAAAGCCAGAACCTGATCCGGAAAGCCATGGACGACAAAGCTAACCCGCTATCGGAGCTGGGTTCGCCGAGTGCAGAACTTGAAAAAGTGAGACCGCCGGACTGTCGGCCGACGACAAGCAGAAGTCCTAAGCATACCAGACACCAAACTTCCCGTAACTTACCCCGTTGGTTTCCTTAAACCGGAAACGGTACTTTTCAGAATGTGTCTTGACTTGAATTGCTGTGGTTCTTCTTTGTGGAGCACGAACTGCAGTGTTCCGGTTCTGGTTGAAGGAAAGTATGTTTCCAGAGGTGAAACTACCGACTTTGTACCGCTGTTGAAGACTTTCAGGTACTTTGTATCCTGTATTGAGGCGAGATTTCAATGCGCCTTAGTTCCACATGTCAATGTCAAAGCCACCCCTTCGACCGCAAAGCTGAGTTGGTCGTTGTGCACAGCCGTTTTGACAAGCAGGCCATGCCAGGACTCATTTTGTTTCCATGCAGCTGTCGTTAACCTTCGTCGCCACTTAACCACAAAGACATCGGTAAAGAGGCCAAGCCTGTCATTCCGGCCTGATTAGTAAGATACTGGCTCACAGTTAAGTCGTTTCGAGTAATCCGTTTGGTTGATGTCGGCTTGTAAATTTGCTGCGTTAATTTCGTTGAGATGAACAACTTGATCCAAGCCCTGAAGGCAACAGGAGTAGCTTGAGCGGATATTGCCAAAACTCAGGAGCCGAGCAGGCTACCGTCAAGCTTTCCAGTATACGTGATGCAATGAGTGGATGGGTTGTGTTTATGAGGCTCAAGGTGTGGGTGGTCGATGGCCCACTTCAGACACCTGAAGAGGTTGTCCTTCCGGGAGCTTTCCGGGTTTAGCACCAATTGGATTTGGAGATGGAGGGCTTGAGATAGCAAGTCGCTAATTTGAACGGGTGTAAACCCAAAATTGCTGCAAAAGTTGTGCTCCAAATTTTCACGCGTCCCCAACTTTCTTCAGGGTGTAGGGCTTTCCTTCCCCATCCGGGTTCGAATTTTCTCGCCAACGAAGGTATTTACCTCAATGCTTTGCGTCACCTGGTTGGGGCCCTGCCCGGCGCGTTCACCTTGCAGAGCCCTTCCTGGAGTTCAGTACCGGGCATTCAGAGTTGATACCGAGTCGTATGCAATGTTGCTGGTTAAGTTTGAGCCAGTCATCTTGACAACAGCCCCTCCGTTGTGGATGCCATACTTGGTCATTCCAATCAACCGGAGGTCAAACAAGGAAACAACATCTGGTGTCAAACACCACCAGCTGCTGTTTTCAGCCGCCTCGTTTCGCCGGTTTTTGAGTCCAGCACACCCCAATACCCATGAGAGCACTGTCCCTGAACATGTCACTCCTTACCTACAGTCCAAACCTCGAAGCAAGAGTCGAAACCTTCCCCAGCCAGACCCCGAAGCAGAAGAACCCCAAAAGCCTACATCGACATCCTGAACGCTAAACCCTCAAGCCCAAACACCTCCAAATCCTTGACCTAGAAGGCCCGTATTGATTTCACAATGGATCCTAAAGCACATAACTCTGCTTAGCCATACATCTTGGAGCCCGAAACCAACTGGAAGCCTCAGAAGCAAACGTGCATAGGATCCTATCAATGCCGATACGGGACCGGACCCCTAATTTTGGGCCTCCCAAGTGGGCGCCAAGGAATTCTCAGATCATCCTTGTGGCTGGGCTCGTTTTTCAGTTTCAGAGGTCAGGTGATAGAGGGCTTTGGATACTTAGGAATGTTGTCCCGATTCTCGGTCCGCTTGGGGGCTCGGGCTTCCGTTTACGGGTTCAGTCGAACCCGAGAGCAACCCCGATTAAAGCAAGCAGTAGCTGACCCCAGACCTCACATCCAATAACCCCTCACACTTTCACGCCATTTCTCAACCCGCCTACGAATTCAACCCTTCCAAAACCACAATACACAAGCACCACTTGTGTAAGGAATGGAAAACTCATTGTCGGAATTATAGACGGAAGAACAGTAGACATATGAGAAGAGAAAAGCAACACGACGAAGGGAATAGTAATTGTTCTTCACAGTAATTAGTATTCTATGTCATATCATTGAAAGGACAGGGTTATAATCTTTGGAGAGGTTTTCTATTAGGGTCGGTGACCCCACCTAATTTTAACGCTACGCCGCCCGC